GTAGCAATATGAAGGGACTGAAGCTGTAAGTTCCAAGCACCTGAAGGTTGTATTGATATGGAGGTGAGATACAAAAGAGGCTATACTTGGAAAAGCAGACTCTGGCATGTCAGATTTGGAGAAGGAAGAGGAATTGTGACTGGGAGAGAAGAGGAATGCAAGGTTTTATAAAAAAAACGATGGGGATTTTTTCGTTAATGTATTTGGTGTCAGACAATCTAACAGGATAGTCTTATTGGTGGAGTAAAGCTTGGGGTCAGAAAGGTAGTGCCATCTATACACAGATAGAAACTGACTCCATACCTACAGGTAATGTAGCTGAGGGACAGAATGTACAAGCAAATAGAAGGGGTCTCAGGGCGACACTCTTATGGACTATCAAGTTGACAATATAGGTTTGGAGGGAGAAGTCATTGCACTCATGTGCTGACAGTTCAGGTCAGGTCAAAATGAAAACCATGGAGAAATGCAATTAAGAAGGAGTAGATGAGCTAACCCGTTAAACACCATAGAGGGTTCAATGGGAATAGGAAAGAACAGCACACTGGGTTCATGGCCACATGTAATCAGTAGTCTTTGTCTGCTGTCAAGGTCAAAAACCAAACTACAAGGATGTGAATAGAGAAGAGTAGGAAACTTGAGAGTGACAAGGTGACTACTTCAAACAAAAATTGACATCACCTGCAAGTTCCCCTCCTCCTGACTTGGAAATATATCTCTGTTCCTTCAGTGCTGTGTCAAGATTCTAGAACTCGCTCCCTACTGGCATTGCTGGTCTACCTACAGCACATGAACTGCAGCAGCTCAAGAAGACATCTTATCACCACCTTCTCAAGGTCAGCTAAGGATGGGCAATAAACTCTGGCCGTATCCTGTGAATGAATGAGAAAAAAAGAGATCCAATTCCAGGCTGCAGCTTGTGTTCATTGTAATTTGTCCAGAAAGAAATATTGGGCTTTAATTTAATGAGAAAACCATAACAATTACTGCAATATTGTAATATTTTAACTCAGTTGGAAGAAAGGAAAACTTGCATTTGCATTGTGTCTTTCATGACCACTGAGATTCCCAAAGTAGTTTAGAAATGCACTGTCTTTTTGAAATATAATCACTTGTAGGAAAAGTGGTAATGATATACAGGTAGTATTCACTATTATTAGCATTTATTATTTCATTTCTCATTGCGCTGAAACATAGTTCAAATAGATGAACTATTGCAGACCTCTTGAATTGTGAAAGGTGTGTCCTGTCCATTTTAAGAGTATGCATTAAAAATTACGAAAATTAAACATAATTAAGTGATAGCATCGTAACTGATTATAATGGCTACATTACTATAATGGTATCATGCTACATATGTTGTGTATGAGAATTTTGAATAAATCAATTATCTTTAACATGACTCATGCAATCCTCATTTATAATCTGCCCAGCAGTATAATCAAACATTTGGTCAATGCTACATCTTAAGAATTAGTGATTGTCCTTGATTATGATCTTTTTATGTCAGCAAATAATTATACACTTTAGCAGTGTTACGTGCCATTGAATGTTTATCATTAAAAGCCCATCAGTACAGTCAACACTTGGATAACAAATTGATTGCATTTATTATACTCGTGCTAGTTCCACTAATCCTGTAAACAACTGCTTGAATGAAAACATGGTTTGCAAAAATATTTAGCTAGAGAACTTCTTCTGCAAGAATGGAAACATCATAACCTCAAAAGTTTCGCATGATCAATGTTGCCAGTTTTGTGCTCAAGAGCTAGGATTTGTGCTAGATCATTTAAATATTCACTGACCAGCCATTATACAAATCCTGTGTATTTGAAAGAAAGGGGAACTACAGTGCAGCCTTTAGAAAGGCAGCATGTATTAGAAGTGTACAAAATTTCAGGGAGGTAATTCTCCTAAATGAGATTCAGTTGCAAAAAGGAAGTAATTATTTCAAGTCCAAGTTACGTCACCATAAGTGCATTGACTTGCTGAAATGGGGGGAGTGGGGTTGCGTGGTGACAGAGGTATATAGCACAACATGTTCTCTTTTATTTTCCTTTGGGCACTGGACCCTCCTTACTCTTTAGTTTTAATACCGGCACAGGGTAGTGAAGAAGGCATTTGGTACGCTTGCCTTTATTGGTCAGTGCATTGGTCATGTTGCGGCCGTACAAGATATTGGTTAGGCCACTATTGGAATTCTGTGTGTAATTCTGCTCTGCACACTGTAGGAAGGATGTTGTGAAACTTGAAACGGTTCAGAAAAGATTTACAAGGATGTTGCCAGGGTTGGAAGGTTTGAGCTATAGGGAAAGGCTGAGTAGACTGGGGCTATTTTCCCTGGAACATCGGAGGCTGAGAGGTGACCTTATTGAGGTTTATAAAATCATGTGGAGTATGGATAGGGTGAATAGACAAGGTCTTTTCCCCAGGGTGAGGGAACCCAAAACAAGTAGGTATAGGTTTAAGGTGAGAGGGGAAAGAATTAAAATGGACCTGAGGGGTAACTTTTTCACGCAGAGGGTGGTGTGTGTTTAGAATGAACTGCCAGAGGAAGTGGTGGAGGCTGGTACAATTACAACATTTAAAAGGCATCTGGATGAGTATACGAGAATCAAATGCTGGCAAATGGAACTAGATTTATTTAGGATAACTGGTCAGCATGGATGAGTTAGACCGAAAGGTCTGTTTCCATGCTGTACAGCCCTATGACTCGATGATTCAACCAGTTTTTCCATAAACTGTAATTCCCTGCTCTTTAGAGATATATTTCCTTTTGCTATTGGAGTGTTTCTCATACATACACTTGAGGGCCAGTACTGTTGGGTTGTTTAGCTCTCCTGCACTAGAAAAGGGTTAAGAAAGAGGTTTTTCTTTTCTGACCGTTTGCTCCTGAGAATAAGCCACTGCTTTAGAACTTTTTTTGGAAAACCTAGTGTGATGTCCTTTACAAAACAGAAATGGATACCTACAATGTGCCAATGCTTCGAGAAATAATGTATCCATTGTCACTGGAGAAAGGGCAAAGAAGACTTGCAAGAAAATACTAGAGCTGAGAAATTCTCAGATAGGACTGGTTGGAGCTTTCATCTTTAGGAAAAAGAAAACTAAGCATGATCTAAAAGAGATCTGTTAAATTATGAAAGTATTTGAAAGAGCTACTCTTTCATTTAAGGAGTCTAAACTTGGGGTTCGTAAATGTAAAATAATCACGAATAAGTCCAATGAAGTATTCCAGGAAAAAGACGTTACCCAGAGTGTGATTATTGTCATATATCTAGAACAGACAAGTCATATTTTGAACTTTTGTCACTACATCTAAAAATTGAACACAAGCAAGCTGCTAAGATGACTTCCACAAATCATTTGACTTCTGGCATTTGGACAACAGACATTAACAAATCTTTAGTGAATATTTAATTAAATTTGGATATAGGTGGTGGTACTTCACAGTTATCTGTAAAGTTCGCACATCTCGTTCTTTAACAATGTGCCAATACTTGGAGTCTCTGGAGTTTCCAGACTGCCGGTCTTGGGAATTCATACCGGACAGAGGGGAAGATTTAAACTCAGTGGCTCCTATCAACAGCTCTTTATATCACATTGGCAAGCCCCACTACAGCCATCCAAAGTAGACAAGATGGGATAGTTTCCTTAGCACGCCAGGACTCAGCAGAACCATCACTCAGAGAGTCTGAGAAACAACCTCCTAAAATGAACTGTAAGTTATCGAGCAGCCAGAGTACTTAAGAAGTTCTAGTTTCAACATTCACCTGAGAAACAACCTGTTTTATATTTGACTACAAATAAACCTGCTGCTATGAACTCTTTGGGTTCCAAAATTTTAACTTCAAGTTTAAATCATTGAATCCATTTAAGAAGCCGTAAGCCTGCCATTTGAGAAAACAGAAATCATAAGATTGAAGCAACTGTAATCTATTAAGTTCACTAGAAGCCAAGCATGTGATGTTATAAGTGTGTGAGAATAAATAATCTTACAAATACTTGCTGCTGAATTATTCACTTGGGATACAAAAGAAATACACACCTCTGTATATAAAACATACAGACCTTAGGTGGTAAGAGACCATATACTGCCTATGACAATGGAATGTGGAAGTCTCTACTGCAGAAAATAGTTGACGCAAATGGTTGAGGTGACTTTAAGCGAAAGTTGTAAAAACGTATGAAGGAAAACTAATTAAAAATTAATAAAATAATAAAAGCACAACGATATACTGATAAAGTCAAAGGAAATTAGATGGGAAGTGGGTGCAGAAAATGAAGTTGTGGCAAAAACCTTTGGTCCCAAGTGGCCTGTGCTATAAATTCCATGTAATTCCATGTATACTAACAGCTGCTATTCAATTAGTTCCCAAATCTTTGTCTCTAGTGATCAAAATGACAATGGTCTAATCAGATCTTCAAACTCTGGACAGAAAGATACATATATCTGTGCTGCCTCATGGTAAGGGATGTGGTTCACAGGGTAATGTCTAAACTGGTTCTAAATTAGGACTGCAGTCTGTCTAAGTATACTTGCCCAATGTTGAAACAAATGTTGGCTGCAATGAAGCCATCACTGTCAGATATAAGACCTCCACAGAGGTGAACTTTTCTCAACATCCTTCTTTTTAACAAAGTTCCAGAAGACCAATACTCCAAAGCATAAGGCCGCCTGCTCCTTTGGTTGGTCTGGCTGCACATTCTTTTCCTTCTCTTCCTCCCTCACTTATTTCATCTTTCCTCTCTTTTCCCCAGTCCCTATTGCTATGATACTTTTTCAGGAAAGTGTTATGATCCCAGCTAATGTTATTACTGGACAAGTCAGATCCCAGCTGAAATCTGGCTTGATAGATCATATTTTGTTTTTTGTTATGAACAAGGTGATCTTTCACTGAAACATAAGTACACAATGCTGCAGATTTTTGTTTTGATAATAAAACAAAGATTATTCCATAAAAGAAATACAAAGAAAATAGAATAGGAAAACTACTTACATATAACACAAGTTTAAAAGTCTGAAATCACACAGTAAGATACAATTCCATTAGTCCCAACAGAATCTTCTTACAGTACTTAAGCACCGGAGAGAATTCCCTTCTCTACCATGTCTACAGGTCTTAATGTAGTTAACGTTTCAGTGACATTTTGACATTCTGACAGCCTCTTCCTTGACTGGTACATTCCACTTATAAGTTCAGAAAATGCTGCAATGCACAGACATCTGTCAGCTTTTGATAAGATTAATATTCCAGAACCAAAGTGTGGGAATGTATAAAGACATATATTTTTTGCATTCAGAAACTGGAAAGGAACAGCCACACTGCTGGATGTGTAATATAGACCTCCAAACAGTGTGAGAGAGTTAGAGGAGAAAATATGTAGACAAATATCTGAGTGCAATAACAATAAGTCAATAATAGTTGGGGATTTCAACCACCCAAATATAAACTGGAATATGAACAGCGTGAAAGGCACAGAGCATGCAGAAGTACTGAAGTGCTTTTAAGAGAACATTTGCAGGCAGCACGTAACAAGCCCTAGAACAGAGGGTGCCATTCTTCACTTAGTCTCAGGAAATGAAATTGGGTGGCCTGATAAAGTAGCAGCGGCTGACCATTTTGGATGCTGATTAAAATGCAGTGACATTTAGCATCATTATGAGAAGGGAGAATGATAGGGCAGGGATAAAGTTTTAAATTGGGGGAAGGCAAACTTTTCAAAACTGAGAGATCATCTGGCAAAACTTTACAGCTACTTGAAGGAATGTCAGTGATAGGCATTCAAAAGTGAAATTCCTTGGGCACAGTGTAAAAGTGTCCCCACAAAGATTAAGTGCAGTAATAACAAAACTAAAGTCCCCTTGATATCCAGAAGCAAAATGTTGAGATAATGCAGAAAAATAAAGCTTACAAAGTGATATTTTTGGAAGCTTAGAGGGGCAGAGATAGCACAGGAATGAAAAGAAAAAGGAAATTAGGAAAGCCTAGCAAGGATGTGATAAAGTATTGACCAGTGAAATTAAGTAAAATCCAAATATGTTTTATCAGTGCCTTAAGAGCAAGATAATGACTAAGGAAAGGTTTGGGCCCATTAGAGATTTAAATGGTAACTTGTGTGTGGCTGCAGAAGATGTGGGCCGGGTTCCAAATAGATATTTTGCCTCTGTCTTCTTAAAGGAGAGGTTTGATACAGACATTCAAGTTAAATAGGCGGCATATGAAGTATTGGGTAAAATAAGCGTAATGAGAGATGAAGGACTGACTTCAATGAAGGTGAATACATCACCAGGGCTGGATGAATTTGATTTGATTTTAGCATCGTTACATGTACCAAAATATAATGAAAAGTATTGGTTTGCATGCTAACAAGACAAATCATACCGTGCATAAGTTCATCAGGGTAATAGAACAGAATGCAGAATATAGTGTTACAGCTACAGAGAAGGTGCAGAAAAAGGTCAATTCTAATATCTGAGAGGTCCATTCATAAGTCTGATAACAGTGGGGAAAAAGTTGTTCTTAAATCTGTTGGTATACCAGACTGCCAAAGGAAGCTGAGGAGGAAATAACTGGTGTTGAGGAGGAAATAACTGGTGTTGAGGAGCATTTTCTAATCCTCACTGGAAACAGGTGAAGTAGCAGAAGACTGGAGAGAGAGATGCAAATATTGTACCATTATTCAGAAAGGATGCAAAGGATAGGCTAAATATTTATATTCTGGTTGTCTGACTGCAGGGGTGGGCTAATTATTGGGATCAATGTTGTGAGATAGGATAACTGGCACTTGGAGAAGCATGAATTAATCTTGGACAACCAACATGGTTTTCTAAGATTTTAGAGTAGATTTGTAGCTCGGGTTGTGGATGTTGTGGTTGGTTTGCTCGCTGATCTGGTTCATTGTTCCACAGATGTTTCATTACCCTGCTGGGTAACATCATCAGTGCAGTCTCCAATGAAGCGCTTCATTGCAGGATGTACTGATGATGTTACCCAACAGGGTAATGAAACATCTGCGGAAAAATGAACCAGCTCAGCGAGCAAACCAACCACAAAACATGGTTTTCTTAAGGGAACATGACTTAATGTTTTAAGGAAGTAACAAAGATGACAAGTGAGGGTGGTGTAGTGAATGTTGTCCACATGGATGTTAGTAAGGCACTTGACAGGGTTCCACACAGCAGACTATAGAGAAAAATTAAAGACCAGATGAAAGTGGACAGCCACCTATAATTAATTAAGGTATGGGAAACAAAAACTGCAAATTGAGCCCTGTTGACCCTGTAAAGTCCTATTTACCAGCATCTGGGGGATAGTGCCAAAATTGGGAGAGATGTCTCACAGTCTAGTCAAGCAACAACCTGACATAGTCATACTCATAGAATGATACCTTACAGACAATGTCCCAAACACAACTATCACCATCCCTGGATATGACCATCTCACCATCAAGGCAGACCCAGCAGAAGTGACAGCATGGTGGCATATAGCTGGGAGAGAGTTGCCCTGGGAGTCCTCAACATGGACAGCAGATCCCATGAAGTCTCATGGCAACAGGTTAAACATTAGCAAGAAAACTTACTGCTGATTCCCACTTACCATCCTCCCTTGGCTAAAGGATCAGCAATCCTCCATGTTGAACAACATTTGGAGAAAGCACTGAGGGTGGCAAGGGTGCAAAAAGCACTCTAGATGGGAGATTTCACTAAGAGTGGCTTGGCAGCAGCATTACTGATCAATGTAGTCAGGTCGTAAAGGACATAGCTACTAGACTGGGTCTACAGCAGGTTCTGAGAAAACCAACAAGACGGAAGAACATACTTCTCCTCATCCTCATTAACCTGCCTTCCACAGATGCATCTGTCCAAAACAGTAAGTATAGAAACATAGAAACATAGAAGATAGGAGCAGGAAGAAGCCATTCGGCCCTTTGAGCCTGCTCCACCATTCTTCACAATCATGGCTGATCATCCAACTCAATAGCCTAGTCCTGCTTTCTCCCCATAACCTTTGATCCCATTCACCCCAAGTGCTTTATCTAGCCATGACTTGATTACATTCAATGTTTTGGCATCAACTACTTCCTGTGGTAATGAATTCCACAGGCTCACCACTCTTTGGATGAAGAAATGTCTCCTTATCCCCATCCTAAATCATCTAGCCTGAATCCTCATACTGTGACCTCTGGTTCTGGACACACCCACCATCGGGAATATCCTCCCTGCATCTAGCCTGTCTAGTCCTGTTAGAATTTTATAAGTCTCTATCATACACCCGCTCATTCATCTGAACTCATATGAAAACAATCCCAAACTAGTCAATCTCTCCTCACACATTAATCCCAGCATCCCTGGAATCACCCTGGTAAATCTTTGCTGCAATCCCTCGAGATCAAAAGCATCCTTCCCAAAAAAGGAGACCAAAGCTGCACACAATATTCCAGGTGTGGTCTCACCAAGGCCCTGTATAACTGCAACAACACATCCCGGCTCCTGTACTCGAAACCTCTCACAATGAACGCCAACATACCATTTGCTTTCTTTACCACCTGCTGCACCTGCATACTTACCTTCAGCAACTGGTGCACAAGGACACCCAGGTCCCGCTGCACACTCCCCTCCCCCAATTTACAGCCATTCAGGTAGCAATCTGCCTTCTTGTTTTTGCTTCCAAAGTGAATTTTCTCACATTTATCCAAATTATACTGCATCCGCCATTGATTTGCTCACTCAACCAACCTTTCCAGATCATGCTGAAGGATCTTTGTATCTTTGTCACAGTCCACCCTCCCACCCATCTCATATCAACTGCAAACTTTGAGATGTTACATTTTGTTCCCTCATTCAAATCATTTATATGTGTTGTTAATAGCTGGGGTCCCAGCACTGAACCCAGCACCCCACTAGTTACTGCCTGCCAATTTGAAAATGACCCATTAATTCCTACTCTTTGTTTCCTCTCTGCTATCCAGTTTTCTATCCATCTCAACACACTTGCCCCATCCCACGTGCTTTAATCTTGCACAATAATCTCTTTTGCAAGACTTTGTCAAATGCTTTCTGAAACTCCAAATATACCACATTGACTGGCTCCCCCTTGTAAACTCTACTAGTTAAATCTTCATAGAATTCCAACAGATTTGTCAAGCATGATTTCCCCTTCATACACCCATGCTGTCTCTGTCTGATCCTGCCACTGCTTTCTAAATGCTCCACTATAAAGTCCTTTATAATGGATTAAAGAATTCTCCCCATTATAATGTGAGTTACACCACATAGTCTTTGTGAAGGCAAAGTCCTGCCTTCACTTTGAGAATATTCCCTATCGTTTTGTGTGGCACCATCACTGTGCTAAATGGATAGACTTCAAAAAGATCTAGCAACTCAAGATTGGGTATACATGAGGTGCTGTGATCAGCAGTAATGGCTGTTCTGAAGAAGGGACAATGGACCCAAAACGCTGATTCTGATCTCTCTTCATAGATGCTGCCAAACCTGCTGAGTTTTTCCAGGAATTTCTGTTCTGTTTTTGTTTCTGATTTCCAGCATCTGCAATTCTTTCAGTTTTTTATAATCTGTAACCTCAAGGTCTGGCATATTCCCACCTCTACTATTACCATCCAGCACTGAGTATATCAGCTCCTGACTCCTCAAAGCCTGTCCATCACCTATAAGTCACAAGTCAGGATTCTGATGGAATACTCCCCACTTAACTGGATGGGTGCAGCTGCAATAGTACTCAAGAATCTTGACACCATCCATGAAAAAGTAGCCTAGTTTCAGTCCCTCCAACCTTGACACGTAGTAGCAGCAGTGTGTATCTTCCATAAGATGCACTGCAGAAATTCACCAAGGCTCCTTAGACAGCAGCTTCTAAACTCATGACCATTATCATCAAGATGGACAGGGCAACAGACACATGGGAACACCCCCTTTTGTAAAATCCCCTCCAAGCCACTCACCATCCTGACTTGGAAATATATCACTGATCCTTCACTGTCACATTGTGGGTCTACCTACACCAAATGGACTGCAGCAGGTCAAAAAGGCAGCTCACTACCACCTTCTCAAAGGCAACTGGGGATGGGCAATAAATGTTGGCCCAGTCAGTAAACCTCACATACAATGAATGAATTAAAACAAACATACAGGGGTGAGTTGGATCAAAAATCGATTCAGTGG